GGAAGCTCCTCCTCATATCGTATCTTAGTTCATTTTCTGGGTATCCAAGCTAGGCCTTGATCTTCTGCATAGAAACAAACAGACCCTTTGCCCACACTTTGACATGCCCTCTATACCACTGTGCAGATTCTCCCTCATTCTTTGAGTGTTATATCACTTAATTTGGGAAATTTCAGAATTTTTCCTTATAATGAGGCATTTTATATAGTGTCTCTGAGTGTTTTTTACACTGTGAGAAGCCACTCTGTTATGGGTCTTGAAATCAATTAATTGAGGCAAGACCAACATTCTAAAACTAAATTAAATCAAATAGAAATATCGGTGTAAATTTTGTTTTGTTCTGTAAACTTTCTATTTGGTCAAGGGGGCCATGGGGGTATGTCCTGGGCCTTATCTCATCTAATCCTCACATGTCCCTTCTGAAGGGCCCCCACCAGTAAGATGGCGAACTTCCGGCTTCTCTTCCGGGGGGGAGGGGGGGGTCCTTGATTCCCGCCAGCACCACCTGAAGCCCAATCACCTCTCGCCCCCCTCCCAATCCCAGCACCTAGCCAATAGCAACCAGTCTCGTAGAAGTAACACCACAATCACCCCATGCCCCTTCCTATATAACCCAGCACCTTTCCCTAATAAAGCGGAATTCTCCGGTAAATTGCTGCTGTGTGTCGCTCCTTTCCTTTCACCTTCTCAATCTTATTTTATAAAACAGGAAATTCATAAGGAAGGTTGAGTAACTTGTCCAAGATCACACAACTAATAAATGACAGAACTGACTTTAGCTCTAGATTGTGTCTCTCTAGAGGCACTCACTCACTGAGGTGCCTACAGAAACATGTCTCTTCTCAACTGTTATAATGGTGGTCAAACAGTTGTGTTCAGGCTGCTGTTAATTTTCTAGCCACTCCCCAAATCAGATAGATAGATGGACAGATGGATGGATAGGTGGATAGGTGGATAGAATGGATAGGTAGATGGATAGATGATAGCTATAAATACATACACATAAATATATAAGTAGAGATTATTTAGTTTTTAATTGGGCAGAAGTCACATAAGAGACCAGAAAAATAATATGAATCAAAGGTAACATTAACTAGCAAAATATATGCTGTAAAATCTTGACTAAGGTGGGTTCCTTATTAACCCAATGGCTTTCATCAGCCAGCACAATGTACAGTCAACAGTGTCTATAATGCTTTTGTTCTGATTCTAAGATCTAAGACACTGTTTCCGGTTTGGAGATCTGAGACCAGCTTCTTCCAAGTCTTCTGTGCTCACCCACAAAGAAGGCATTATGTGCAGAGTAGCTAGTATTCTCACAATAGTTTTCCAGTAAAGCCAACTCTGAGTTTCATAGGGCTGCTTTTCATGGTATTGTCAGTTTGCCTTCTTCTGTCGTGCTTTCTTGCGTATTCTTTCATTTCCCTTGGTCTCTGAAGAGGCAGTTCGAGGTATAGCCACAATTGGGGCTCTGAAGTCAGAAAGGCCGGATTCAAATTCCAGTTCTATTTCTTTCTTAATCTCTTACTTAATCTTATATTTGCTAGTTTCTTCATCTGTAAAAAGGAAGAGATAATAGTACCTACATCATAGGGTTGTTGTCAAGAATGAAGATAAATAATCCACATGAAGCACCCAGCACAGTGCTTGGTACATAGCAAGTGCTCCCCAAGTCTCATTTTCAGTTGTTATTCTTGATACTCTTTGTCCAGATCTATGCTGTCCAATATGCTAGCCTCTCCTCATTATGTGGCTCTTTAAATGTAAATTAATTACAATTAAATACATTCTCTGTTGTACCAGGCACATTTCAAACACTCAGTCACCACAGGTCCTTGATGGCCACCATGTTGGATGTGTGACTCTAGAATATTTCCCTGAGGGCAGAGAGTCCTTTTCTACAGCTCTGCTCTAGAGGAACAGGATTTCCCACAACACATCTTAGGTACGGTGTTTCCAGACTTTAGCTACTCTGAAAGCAATAACAGAAAACAAAGTTTTTTAGTTTTACTCTCAAAAGCTTCAGATAGCTGCCTGCCACCCCCCAGAGATGTGGATTCAGCCATGCTGGGATGGGGCCTGAGAATTTGTAGCTAAAAAGATACCAGGTGGTACAGATGTTGCTGGCCCAGCCCGTGGACCACCTGTGAGCTGTACTGCCCCAGGGTGCCACTTCCTGCAGCGCCCTGGGAATGCCGTTTGAAAAGGTAGGAAACACATCAAGGTGAGGTAGGGCTTCTCCCTGCTTCCTCTACTTGGGCAAACATGAAGAACCAGATGTTCTGTAGAACTTCTGCTGCAGCATCTCCAACATAATCAGCAATTATTCTGAAAATGAATGGGTGCCCCATATATTTTCCATCCTTGTTGAAAACCTTTTGGGAGGGCCACTGAAGCTTTTATTTTTGATTTTATATGGCAAGAGGAAGAAAACTGGAGTTTTGAATCTGTGAGTTGGAAAAGGCCCAGGCCACCTGAAAATTCAGTTTATGAAGTTTTATGTGTGATACCAGAGAAGTTCAGACTCCTTGCAACGAGTTTGGGAGTATTCTAGGAAACAATGAAGATGGCCCCAGGGATTTGGCTTAGTTTACAATCCACAAATTTTGTAAAATCTCTCCCAATAAGCTGAACTCTTCTTTAACAGGAAACTGAGGTTGTTGATAGACCAGCAAAGGAAAATAACAAAGCATTTTGCAGACTAACCTAGCTGGGTGGTGGAAGAGAAGAAATTATGGAACTAACCAAAGGTGCAACCCAGTTCCAAATTGAAAGATGCCTGCAGAGCTGGAGACGGGCTTCTGTTTTAATCAGAGCTTCAGTTAACTTGATAATGTGTTCAGTTTATCCTGTGTGGACTAAGAACACCTTCAGATAGCGGAGTCTATTATATAAAAGGCCACGAATAGCATTTAAGGTCAACTGGAATTAAAAGTAATCACAATCAGAGTGATTCAGAGTATCTGACGGCATAGCTTTAAAGTTCCAACACAGAGGTAGGAAAAAGGAAAACGCGTGTAAAGCCCATCCACTCGCATATTCTGCAGGAGGTACAAGTGAAAAGTGTTCAAAAGGGGATCCAAGATGGGAAGCCCTACCTATGAGTGTGCCCCTCTCATCCTTGGCCTGGAGGGTGGCAGAGGTCTAAGGGCCTTTCTGACGGGATACCTTAAGATTTACCAAGGGGGTCTTCCCGGAAGGCTCATAAACCTATTAGAGAGGGCACCTTTGGAAAATATCAGCCCTTAAGTCACAAGTTGAAAGATGCCTGTGGGAAGTCGGAGGAAGGCATGTATGTTTTAAAAGCCACCTCATTCTGTGAGCAGGTGGAGCTCCCCCAAACTCTGAAGGCCTCACCCACCCCACTGTTACTGCTCTGAGAGACTCCTGGCCAAGGTGCCTCTCCACACCCTTCCATCTCCTGAGTAACAGAGTATGAGAAAGACACCTGGCACAGAGGAGAAGGAATGTGGAACTGAAATGTAAATTACCTGGGCTATGACACATTGCATCTCTCTGAGCTTCGCTTTTTTTTCACCTGTAATATTAAGCTAAGGCCCTGCTTCAGAAGTTTGTGGTATAGTAAAATCCAGTTTGATTTATAAAGCTGAGCCGAGCATAGGATGGGATGGAGTGATCAGTAAGCCCTTACTCAGACTCCTCCCAGCTCCCACCCACCCCCAGCAAAGAAAATGCCCTGGTTTCTCTAAAGAGCTTTCAGATGTATAGGAAAGCCTGAGCCAATTTATTTGTCAGGGTCTATTAAATGTGGTGGTTTGGGAGGCAAAAAATCCAATCTGTTTCTTAACCTTTTTCAAAAGTCTTTGGTCAAGGGTTTTAAACATTCACAATGTTCCCTAAATGAGAACCAGGATTCTGGGGGCATGCCCCCGGCCATTTCATAAACTTAAAGCACTGGTCTCTTTTGCTAAACGCAGTGAGGGCTGCAGATGAAAACTGGCACCTGACCTGATCAAGGGTTTCAGTTTTGTTCCCTTGGATCACAGGGCACCATGTGGACGCCAGCAAGGCTCCTGGATGCCACACTGGGCGGAGGGAGGAAATAGCATGCTTCATGGGAGGGGCCCCAGCTGACGTCTGGCTGCAACAGAAGCTTTTCCAGGGCCCAAGATGACTAGGGGAATTAAAAAGCACTCCTTTCTATTTATAAAGTGAACTTTGTTTGACTTTAGAATTAAAAATTAGATTAAAAAAATAAACTACTCACTCCTGACTTCTTGACTGTGTGACATTTACTAACTTTGGTAATGGAATGGGGGAGCATACTTATTTCTTTCACCAGGTGGTAGGCATGGAGTGTGTGTGTGTGTGTGTGTGTGTGTGTGTGTGTGTGTGTGTGTGTGTGTGATGATGATGATGATGATGATGGTGGTAGCTTACTCTAAATCAAATGTAAGTTGCTTTTTTTTCCGGGCTTGAGGCACGGCCATTGGAAGGCAAGTACACCTGTCTACTTGCATGTTATCAGATGGCTTGATAAGGGTTAGAGCCCAGATAAAACTCAGTAAATCCCAGCAAAAGGAATTTCTTTCACTTTATTTCCTTTTGTTTGATGCAGCAAGTTAAATTACCTTATCAACAAGGAGAGTATTTTCATGAACAATTGCTAATTTTTAACTTTAGAAAGCTGTTTGTAGCTGGGTCCTGCAACTGAGGGGACTTGTTAAGTGCATGGGAAAATGGACTGACTCCCATTGTTCATACTTCCTGTCCCTCTCTCTCTCCTCCCATCAGCTTGCACCTATAAAAACCAGGAGTGCCGTTTGACCATACATTATGAGAATGGATTTGCTGTTACCACTGAACCACAGGAAGGTGCCTTTCCCAAGACAATCATACAGTCTCCTTATGAAAAGCTGAAAATGTCTTCAGATGATGGAGTCAGGATGCTGTATTTGGATTTTGGAGGCAAAGATGGAGAGATTGTAAGTGTACCTTTCTTTAGACAGTGTGATTTTGTATATTTCATGGTGCAATACACCTATAATGGCTCACAAATATAACACTGCCTTATATTTATTTAGCAACTGAGCATTAACAAAGTATTTGCAGGCTCACATGTTATTTGATCTTTGAAATACTATGCTTCAATCCAATTATTCCAAAGCTCCTTTCTTCTGGTCTCGTTTTCCACTAAAATACTAAATATTTGAATCAAAATAAAGAATCTTTGACAAAGTTAGCATTAAATTCTTATCAAATAGGGTCCCACCGGTTCAAACTGGAGCATTCATTTTTTGAAAAGTATCAAGCATCTAATCTAACCTCAGCATTGTGCAGGTTGTCGGGGATGCAGGGATGCAAAATATGCAGTCCTGGTCATCTGCCTCGTCTCAGAACAGCGGAGAGCAGAGAGCACAGAGGTGGGAGGGGCTAGACCAGGAGCAGAATACAAGGGGCAGCAGGGAGGTAGAGAAACTCAGCAGCTCCACCCACATGGAGAGAGGGCCAGAAAAGGGCCCCCAGAATTTGGGGGCTAATGTCAAATAATGTGCAACAAAATTATCAAATCTGTCAGCTAAGGTAACATACTTCTCATATCAAAGCAAATAGCCCATATGTTTAAATTCATGATTTCCTGTGACCATTATTGCCTACCACAGTGAAAAAGTATGTTTCTTCAGTTACACAGAAGGGTGAGAATTGCACATTCTTCTACTTCCCAGCCAGTGTACTTCTTGGTATTTTCAGGAGGACACGGCATCTCATTGACACTGTCGAATGCAGAAATTCAAAGAGGACCTTGATTTTGTAATAACTAGTCTCTGCTCAAGTCCTTCCTAGTCACTGGCTTAGTCCACAAATATTTACTGACTTCGACTGGATAACAGGGAAGGGAAATAGATAAAATATAGAGGTAAATCTCAGTTTTAAAGATCCAGTGCTTTCAGTTCAGCTCTGGCTTTCCGCAGTCCCCACCCTCTGCTTCCATCTCTCCACGGTTATATCAGTCATTTCTCCTGTGGGACTTCATCGATAATGCACTGATAACCATTCAGGGTTACCTGGCAGGGGCTGACAGAAGGAAAGGGCCAGGACCACACTTTGGCAAGTGTAAGGGTCCTTAATCTCAGTTTCAGCAGCTCTGTTCTCGATCACAGGACACAGCTGGCCCTGACACGGGTCCCAGATTCCTCACCATGGGTGCCCCAGGCAGTCATGATGAAGTCCGCGCCCTGTGGCGGAAGCTGATCTGAACTCCTGACAACAACTTCCAGCCAGTCATTTTTCTGACCTTTAAAATAGATCCACAGAATTTAATAGGATTTTGTTATTTGTGTTTCAATCAGTTAGTTCAGCAGAGGCACCAGTTTGGAAATAAATGACTTGAAGGTCCATTTTACTAAGGATCCTTCTCGCTCAGTTGCTGCTCCATCAATCACACAACTGTGTACTTTTTCCTAAAAGTGAATATTCCCTAGCAAAGTGGAAAAAAAACAAGAACCAGTCTCCTGCTTTATCCTTGGCTTAAAAATCCAAGGCTATTTTTGCCCGTGAGGTAAATCGCTTATGTCTAAATTTCAGCCTTTCTGTTTGTAATTATGACCTGACATGGAAGATTTAGGAAGGACTGAGTTTTTGCTGCCACTACATTAGTTTGATAGGCTCAAGTTCAGGTACAGCTCCCTGGATGTTTAGTTAAGCAGGTGTCAGGAGGCAGGCACCGGGCCTTTCCCGGGAGGGGAAGGGAGCAGAGATGAGTTGTAGAAAGTGGAATAAATTGATGGTCAAAAGACTCGTGCTTTCTTTCTGAGTTGTAACTGACTCACTGATTGTCTTGGGCAAGTCCTTTATTTCTTTGAGCCTGAGTCTCCCCATCTGTAAAACACAGACGCTGCAGTAGGTAATCCTTAAGACTACTTCCAACAGTTGTGTTCTGTGTGAGGGAGTCGGGACACTGTGGTGAAGCCCTGACTCGGGCATCAGATAGCCCTGAGTTTGAGCCCATGCCTTCTCTTTACTGTAACATCTATGATCTTAGAACATTTTATAACTTCTCTAAATCTTAGTTTCCCATATCAAACATAGAGATAATAACAATAGCTACCTCCCAGGGATTTTGTGAGAATTAAATAAGGTAGTATAGAGAAAATATTTGGCACAGTACCTGGTACGTGAAGAAATAAAACCCTAGCTTTGCTAGATATTATTATACACTCAGTTGTTACTCCCCGACAGTGTCATTATCAGAACAGAATTGAGAATTGGTAACAATCACCCAGTTTTCCTGAATTAGGTCAGGAGATAAAAATTCAGTCAGACTCTCATGCTCCAACCATGTGTGGGCACCGTATGAACACACTGAGAAGGGTAAGACTTCAGAAGGGGCCGTCACAGACACGCGCTGTACAAGCTGACAGCAATCCTAGAGCATGGGACACACTGTTTGGTAACATGGGCTCTGTGTTTTGTAGTTTATGAGAAATTTTACATATGCATCTCATTTAATATTCTAATTACCTCATAAGTTAGTCAGGACTGAGAAAAATTTTAAGTGACTTGTCCAAGATTATATATCTAAAAAGTGTTAGAACCAGGCTCAAACCTAATCTTAAAGATGCAAAATTTAGTACTGCTTTTGTGCTGTACCTCATCCAACATAAATAATATCACTGTTGTGATATCAAAAATAAATGGTTTAGACAGTCAAGAAAGGCAACATCAATATTTATGCTATTGGCATATATAAATTTCGCAGAACCTAGTTCAGGAAAAAAAGATACATGAGATGTAAGGAATAAGTTCAAACAGTGATTTCTTCTATCTCTTTGGGGGGCAAGGATTTAAAAATATAATTGCTCCAGTTAACACTTGAAAGCAAGAAGTGTACAGATGCATTTGATGTGTGAATGGCTGTTCTGTATCAGCATTAATTGAAAATCTCTCGTGCTCTCTTCTTTTTTAAATTTCAGCAACTGGACCTTCATTCCTGCCCAAAGCCAATTGTTTTCATCATTCATTCCTTCCTGTCAGCTAAGATTACAAGACTGGGCTTGGTGGCCTGAACAGAGGGGCAACGTTTGAGAAAAGGAGGCTGCTATTACCACTGGAAAGTGTAACATCAGACACCATTTGCAGCGAGCAACGTGCCAGATGTAGCTTGCCACAGTGAGCTTTAGATCCTGTGTAATTGTCCCAAAGTACTCTGTCAATTTCACCAACCACAAGGGGTACCCTAAGAAAATAGACAAGGAACATCAGAATCAAACTAACAGTAAAAACTGTCAAGAGGTGAAGGCATTTGAAAATAACATAGCATAGCTTTTAAGTAATGACAGACAAGGGCGAGAGCATTAGAACAGCATGTGTAGATCTTCAGCCTACCCGTTTCTAGGCAACTGGTTTACCCAGGTGAGCAGGGGCTGAATAGATGAAGAATGGACATTTTCGCCTCTCTCTTCCCTGTAACAATGATCCCTTGTTTTGTTGTGATTTATTTCCTACTTCTAACTGAGTTGACTTTGGCCGGTAAGGAAAGAAAAGTACTTCAAATGGAAACCCAACTCTTTTTAAATATGAAGCAGCTGTTACTTTTTCTTAATGAATTATCTTTCAATGATGTAGAAAGATTCTGAAGTGTTCTCATTAGCATATGCTGAGCAGGAATTAAATAAACCATCAGATACTGATCCACACTGTAAGTGGTCGACTCTGAGCCAAAGTAGCTGCTTAAATTGCAAGGCTTTGCTGAGGAGCAGTATGAGTGAAAAATGATTAATTCTGGGACTGTATTCACACCAAGGTCTGCTGTCTTAGAGCCAAGAAAGATAGCTTTATTTATAGAAAGTAAATTATGGCTAGTTTTTTAAAAGATTGTCATTTGATAGATGTATATATATAACAGCTCATGTGGGGTCAACGAATTATCCCCATTTTGTGGTTTTCAATGAAAGTACTGAGCAATTTAATGACCTTTGTTTCTGCCTGTGCTTGTATGCATGCATTTTTGAACCAGTAATAGAGCAGCCTCATATAATTCTGGATGATGCTGGGTTTTCCATATAGACCCAGCATTATAATCAAATCTATTGTCAGCACCCATGGCTCTTTTGGAATCCCAGAGAAATATAAGGACCTGATATTTTTCTACAAGAATATTTTCAGACACCATATAGGCATATTACTGATTTAATGCTTTTTCTTTTTTCCTTTGAAACAAAGTCACTGAAAATATTTCACACTATTTGATTTTGGAATCACTTTTCTCAAACCTTGAATTAACTCTAGAATTTCTGTAAGCATTTGTACCCTTCTTTCCCCTGCAGCATACATAAACAAATACATGCTTTTTCAGAATTGTATTTTAGCAAATACCTATGCAAAGAGCTTTAAGAAGTGAACTGTTTTTAAGGAATATGTTTGCTCACTGAGACATGTGTTTATTGAGTGCCAAAGGTTTATTTTACCTCGGCATTGCCCCAAAGTATGTATCACAAGGGGCATTGATTGAGTGGTGTTCTCATACAGGTGGGGGTGGGAGGAACAAGAGCTTTGCTAATGAAAAATGTTTCTTAAATCTTGAGTTAAGAAGTGTTAAACAGATTTCATAAGTGCAGGCATCCTCCAAGACCTTAATGAACTACCTAATGCTTCTTCAAAGGGGAATCCTATGTGCCATTCCTTACACTTACTTACTGATCCTTTCTAATGGAGCAGCCCGTGAAGCTAGTGTTATTAAAAAGAAAAAAACACTTTGGGAAATACAGCTTTAGGACACTGATTTTTTTTTTGGCTTCCTATTTTAAAATGCTAAAGTTGCAGCTTGAGTATTGTAGGAAAGCTCTGAAGCATTTGTAAATGATACAGTACTCTTTCATTATATATTTTAAAAATCACTGGAATGTTGTTATACAAAAGAATTATACTTGTGCATTGTAAAAAACATTAATATACATTTATTAATGCCAATAGTTTAATTCAACAATATGTAATCTAAGGTGCTCAGTACTACATGAAGTATGAGTTACTCATTACTCATCATTCAGTTGCAAAGATGCTATATTTATAGACAGAATTTAAATGATAATTACAAATATTTCTTCATCATTTAAGTCTTGGGCTGATTAATATCTGGGTGGGGGTCAACGGAAACTATATTCTCTACATTTATAAAAATTTAATTTAAATATTTATATTTTAGAAAAAAATGTATTTGAATAAAAATGCATTTTCTGAATTAAAATGTGCTATTAGCAAGAAACAAAATTTTACTGAAAGAAATGTGTAAATGAATCTTTTTTTTCCCTTCCAAGATAAAGTGAATCAAGCATATATCAGAGTGGCTCTGATGAAATCAATTTCAAATACTCATTTTTTTTCTCATTCTGAATTTCAAGTTACCACGACTTTCCACTGTATGTAGATTTTAATCTTGTCTTGATGTGTGTTACGAATGTTGTAAACGACACAAACTCATATGTCAACTGGGTCTTTTGGGGGAATTCATTTTTGTCCAGTTTGCTCTGTGCTCAACTGTTTCTTATCTGAATTAGTGAATTATTAAATTCATAGTGTTTGTCCCATAAGGGCAAACCAATACAAATGAATGTTCTAATGTAGTTGGTGGGAAGCTACCCATTTGCTAGTAGATGTGGTTAGGTGAGCCCTTTGTGGAGTATCTTTAAATCATCCCAGAAGGGTTTAAAGAAGACCAATAGGAATTTAGAGAGTAAATTTTTTTTTTCTGACTTGAAGTAAGAGAAACAAAACCATAAACCTACTACTAAAAAAATAGCCAGGCAGAGGCATTTAATTAATTCTATCAATTGATGGAATTAAAGTGCAGAAACATGCATGACCCTTTGTCCAGAAGCTTGTTGAACCTGCTTGAAGTCAGGAGGAATGGTCTTAATGGTCGGAAGGATTCTCCTAAAATTAATGAGCAGGGCCTTCCTGGCCCTTGTTTTACAAATATTATTCTATCTTGAGGGGATTAGAGTGGGCTAGAGGGAGTAATTTTTAAATGTACCTTGAGTTAAAAAAACATGTGCCTATGTTTATAGCACCAAGGCTATCATGTAAAATTGATATATGAATTAAATAAATATTCACCTCTAAATATGGTAGACTGGCTGGTGGTTTCATGATAACCACAGGAAATGTGAAGACATGTCCTGCTTTTCTCTTCCTCCAGTATAGGCCCTGGAAGATGCTGATGGATAAAGGGATTGCCACTAGAAGGTTTTGGGGGGGTATCTTGTGTATAGTTTCAGGATGGGTCTTCATCTGGGGTTTAGGGATCTCAGCTCTCATTTTGACTAAGTTTTCATGAGATTTGACCTGTGCACCAGGCTTCAAGTCCTCAAATTCTCATAGTACTAGAACTTGGTTTGTGTTTAAATTGCTTGTTATATCATAGGCTGGGGATGAGAAGTCTTTCTACTGTTTGAAAATTTAGTAGTATTGAGATTACATTTAGAACTATAGAATATCACTTTGGAGAACTTCAGAAGTCATCAAGCACATTACTGCCCAAATTTTATTTATAATTTGAGCAATACTACCTTAATGTCTTAGGTTATATAATTTGTTAGTAATATAGCAACAGAGTATATACATATAAAAATGAATATGCACCAGTTATAATTTTTTTAAAGATATTATACCACCTAAAGTCATCCCACATACACTATGGTCCAAAAGTACTACATTTTTGGGAAACACTGACCTGTGTCATATCCCACAAAACTCAGGAATCTCTTCCTGAACATCCCTTGCAGTTGTTCAATCCACCTGAGATTGAAAATTTTCGGCTATTGGAGGGAGCTCTTCATCTCCTGAGCCATTCTATTGCTGGATGGCTACATCTGTTGGAAAATTCTTATGTTCTTAGAGCCAAAACCTATGTACATCCACCTAACTTTCAGTCATGTCCTGTTCTACCCTATGTAACCCTGAAAATCCATTCTTATCCATGTGAAGTTCTGTATAAAGAGACAAATCAAAGCTGGGGACTACTACATGAAATAAAATGATCTGAAAGTATCTTTAAATACAACATTAAAAGTTTGTTTTTACCTTTAAAGAACCAGTTGGCCAAAAATTAAAACCTCCCATAATACCTAAGGGTGTGAAGTGATTGGAAAACAGGCATTTATACACCCAATAGTAGGGATATATTTGGCAATAATGTAGAAGGCAATTTGGCAATATCTATAAAAATTTAAAAACATACACACCTTTTGACCTGCGGGAATTTATCCTGGAGATGTAATTGCACAAGTGCACAAAGACTAATGGGTTAGGATCACCTTTGCAGCTTGGTTTGTAACAAGAAGCAAAAGGTCAATGTGACCATCAATAGCTAAATACATCTATTTGGAATGTCACTGCATTAGAATATTCTGCAACCATTATAAAGAACAGTCCATGTATATGTGCTAACATGGACAAAATTCCTAAATACAAGTTTTACAAGATGCAGATATATAGATTCCATTTGTTTTTTAAAAATGGTGCTCAAAATTCTTGAGTGGCACTGTGGGGCATTTTAGAAATCTATGCTACTGTTAGTGTTCTTTTATTCTCACAATGATGGGTGGGACGGACAGTTCGTATTTACTGAACCAGAGCCAGAGTTGGTAGACTTGCTGCAGTGAGATGACAGTCCCCACATCCAATGGAACCATGTCCTCTGAGTTATTGTAGGTGAAAAATGTTTATAATTATGTGAGCCTTGATCCTGACTACATTTTTCATATGAAAACACTGTTTTGACTGATCCAATATATTCTGAATTCTCTAGGTATGGAATTACCATATGGATAAAAACCATAAGGGAGAAAGTTTGTGTTTTTGTTTTGCTCAGGGCATTTTATAAAACATTTTATAGAAACTCACAGGTAGCAAGCATGTACATGGCACCTGAGTCACCAATACAGAACATTTAAATCCTTTTATATGTGCCTCATTTGTGGTAAATCTGGGTAAAAGACAAATATCTGGCGACTTAAGTTTGTCCTTCAGTGTAACTGTACCCCAACATCTCCATATTGAAATGCATATTATTTTATTATCACTACATGCCTTTTCTAAAACATCTTTACCTTGCAGTTGGGGGATATCAATTTTTTAAAAAATTCCTGAGTGCATGTTAGGATACATTACTGTTCTTGGGTGCATCCTGTGTATGTCCTCAGATTCCCTCAAGGCCACCGTCTGTCTCCTAGACTCAGCTGCTCACTCGGCCTGGGCTCGGCTTGTCCCAGGTGTTTCTGTCACTTAGAGCCAACCAACTTCTTATCTGGAAACGCAGCTGCCCCCCACCTCTCCCTGGTTGCTGCCAGGCAGCCCAGCTAAAGAGATGTGCACTTGAATTTCTGGGTTTTGTCATCAATTCCAGATCCTGAATGAAAAGCTGCACTGCAGGGGATTCAAGTCTTCTTGGGGCCAAACAGGAGGAGATCGTAGGGAGGGGCCCAGCAGATAAATAATCCTCTTCCTCCTCTTCCCTGATCTTTCTCTGAAACACGGTTTCTCCAGACACCACCTATCCTGCTACACCCCGTGTGGCTGAGGAGATACCTGCTGGCTGACTGGCTGTGTGTCCCCTGGGCCCACGAAGCAGTGGCCAGTACAGTCATGTGTCACCCCGCTTTGCTCCCCTGCCTTTTCTCTTTTCTTCTTCATTCAGTGCCCTGGAATCGGACGTCCCAAGTAAAGCATTAACACCTAATCCTTGCCTCAGGTTTCATTTTCTAAGAACTTGCCCTAAGACCATATTTATTAATTTCAACTTCACCTCATGACAGCAAAGGGGACATTAAAGTTCTTATGAAAGGGGTGTTGAGTCTGCTCATTTCAGAAACAATGGACACATGTATAATATGCTTTCATTTGCATAAAAATGTCCACCTTAAAAAAAAGGCTTCTTGCTTCAGGTACAGCTGGGAAATGGGATCGGGGATCACAGGTATGACCTTAACGCTGTATTACCTGAACTTCTTAAATGTGCATTTTAAAATTCTCTTTTTAAAAAGGTTTTCTTTTTATGGCTAAATAATGGTCTAATAGTGATAAATAGTATTTTTAACTTTTGTGCATAAAATCTTGAATAATAGAACTCTTTGAATATATGACCAGAAATTAACTAGCATGTCACCTGTGGTCTTCCAAATTGAATCAAATTTGATTCCACTAAAGGAAGCAAATCTTAATACCTCATTAACGTAACTAAACCATGCCCTAGGAGGGTATGGAATCACATTTGTATAAAAGAAAAACAGCAGGAACTCCTCTTTTAGCCTTGTATCCTCTCTCTATTCATTTTCCCCTTGGATATGAATAAGGCCTTTTCTTGGAAGAGTAAGACTCAATAGACACTGCTCAGACAGTGCCACAGCAAGAAGGGCAGGGCAGAGGAGTGGCCTGGTGAAAAAGGATGCCCAGTGGGAACAAGACAGGAATGGAACCATGCACGATCAGCCCATGCCCGGGGGAAGGGGCACCCCACGGAGCAGGCCTCTCACCCTCGCTCCAGTCTCCCAGGCGAGGCCCATCCTGCTCTCACGCTCACCCTGATGGCTGTGGTTCTGCCTTAGCAGCTGGGACCGGGGCCTGCAATGTAGAAAGAAAACTTTGTTCTTAATAAACAAAGCCGGTTATTTTTCAGCAACTTTTGACTACAATTCTTTGGATGCATAAAGCCTATTTTCTCCCAAGAACTCAGTCAACATCCAGGAAAGACCGTCACTAACACCTCATTAATTGCAACTTTCTCACCTGCACAAGGGGTGAGGCACTGTTCTTCAAGTTTTCTGAATCTCACAAGAAAGGCAAATCCAGTCCAAAAGGAGCTATTTTTTTTTTCTTCAAGTAGGGTCTTTAAACTAAGGCCTTAATGAAGCTTCTGCAACTTTCCTCTGTGTACTTGACCTCTCAATGAATTCTTCAATGTGAATGGAGCCTAATGTTTGTTTATGCAAAACAAACCACCTCACACCCTAGAGGCTTAGAACACAGCCAGGTGTTATTTCTCACTATTCTGTGGGTTGGCTGGGCAGTTCCTTGCTGTTCTTGCCTGGGCTCACTCATGTGGCTGTATGTGTTGGAGCAACTTGGACTGGAAGGTCCAAGATGCCTCACTCCCTGTCTTGCATCTGGTGTTGGCTGTCAGATGGGACACCTCAGCTCTCTTCCAAATGGCCTCTCATCATCTTGGCTAAACCAGTGCCCTTATGTGTCTCCCTTGCAATCAGGGCAAGGTTCTGCAAGAACAAACCAGAAGCTGCAAGGTCCTCCGGGTTTAGGTTTTAGCTCCTGCCATGTCATCTACACCGTATCCTACTGGCCAAAGCAAGGCACACTGCCAGCCCAGACGCAAGGGCCAGGGAGAGAGGATCCACCTCTTCACGGGGGGAGCTCAAACCTCTGGGGCCATATCTAACCCACCGCATTCCATTCCTAGCCAGTTATTTCCACTCCTCCAACATGCAAAATACGCTCATTTCTTCCCAATATGGGTTCAAATCCTGTATTCTGTGATCTTCATCTGGTCCAGATAGGGATGAGACTTCTTAGGGTATGGCTTTTTAAAACCCAGAATACAGTGCCTAAAATACCCAAGGTTAACCACCATCCATACATCCAACAGCCATGGTGAGGCAGAGATGGTAACTACACAGATACTTCCCTTCATGACAGGACTAGTCATTAGTTCAAAGTAATTCTAAATCCAGCCGGGCACACGTCATCAGTTCTCATCGTCAGAAAAATATGAGAAGCAGGGTTTATTTCTGCTACCTGGGAGTAGTTCCCGACTCCATCACTCTTGGCTTATGCTGTGGGCTCTTGGCTCTGACTTTCTGGCAGTCTTTCTTTAGCATAGGAAATAGTCCATGTCTGCAGCTGAATGCATGGTTTTCTCATCTTGCTTTCTGCCAACTGAAATTTGGTGACTCAGAGGCACTAATCCATTTTGATGCAAATTCCTTGAAATTTTATGGACTTTATGTTGCCAAGAAAATTCAGTGGAGAAAGAATAATCTTTTTAAACAAACAGTACTGGGATAATTGGAATCCTATATACAAAAGACTAATGGTGGATCCCTTCATCACATGATATACAAAATTAACTCAAAGTGGATCACAGAACTAAATGTAAGAGATAAACCTATAAAGTGAAAAGACAACCCACAGAATGGGAAGAAATATTTATCAATCATATATCTGGTAAGGGACTAGAATCCAGAATACATAAAGAATTCTTACTACTTAACACTAAAAGGGCAAATAATCCAATTAAAAAATGGTCAAGGGATTTGAGTGGACATTTCTCCAAAGAAGATATGAAAATGGCCAAAAGACACATGAAAAGATGCTCAACATCGTTAGTTATCAGAGAAATTCAAATCAGAACCACAATGAGATACCACTTCACACTTTGTATCATTTGTCAAAAAGACAAATAATAACAAGTGTTGGCAAGGATGTGGAGTAACTGGAACCCTAATACATTCATGGCTAGGGGAAAATGTCAAATGGTACAGCTGCTTTGGAAAATGGTCTGCCATCTTCTCAAAAATGTTAAAAATGGAGTTACCATAGAGTCCAGAAATTCCACTCCTAGATTTATATCCAAGACAACTGAAAACACATGTTCACACAAAAACTTGTATACAGATGTCCACAGCATTATTCATAATAGCCAAAAAGTGCAGTCAGTTCAAATATCTCCATCAATTGATGAATGGATAAAGGGGGCAAATTCATACAGTAAAATATTATTCAGCTATATAAAGGGATGGATACTGATATATGCTATACATGGATGAACCTTGAAAACTTCATGCTAAGTAAAAGAAGCCAGACACAAAAGGCCGTAAATTGTATTAGTTCATTCATATGAAATATCCACAATATGCAAATCCATAAAGACAGAAAGTAAGTGGTGGGGGAAAGGGTCGGGGAAAGGGAGACTAGGAAATGACTCCAGCAGAAATGGGATTTCTGTCTGCAGTGATGAGAAATACCTGGAAGTAGATTGTGGTGATTATTGCACTACTTCGTGAATACACTAAAATCCACTGAATTATACACTTTAAAGGGTGATTTTCTTTTTGGTATGTAAATTACATCTCAATTAAAGATGTATTTTGTGGGCATTTTATGAAGTTATAGTCTCGTCCATTAGAGAAAAGCCACATGCCCTATTCTTTTCAGGCAAGATCTCTCTTTACTTCAGGTGTCAGGGGTGCTGTGGGACAATACCTTTAAGATTCTTAAAAGCCCTTCTGTCTCTGAGTGGGTCTACTTATAAATCATTAACTTTAAATATTTCTAAGGTCTTAATAAAGGATTATATAACCACACTTTTGGTCTGATCTTTTTCCTGTGGGAATCCTTTGCCATCAGAGATACTGGAAGTGGGAAACCATTTTATTTTCCAATCCAGAATGTCCTAAGCCATCACGATCTCCTCATGAAATGCTGCTAGAACACTGAACAGTTCCTTCTTTAGCTCCTGTTTTTTCCTGTATCTTATCATATTCAGCTATATAAACACACAAATGGCCCACTGACAGTTTTCACATTCTGCCTGGAAATAATCTGAACCACATCCATGAGTTTATTAGGTTCAACTTCCTTTTTCCAATTATGCAGGGAACACTTTCACCAAATACACCATTGCTGTATAACACAGCTGAGAGTTGGGCCCTGTGGCTCCCTCTTGCCCAATAAAATGGGCCTCATTCTAAACTTGTCATTTGGAAGAGTGTGAGCTTCCAGCTGTATTCCCAGCTATTATAGGTGTAAAACTCCTATATTAGGAATAAATAACTCCCCAGATAGCTGGTGTCTACGCTCAGCCTATACTCCCTTTCCTGTATGCCTTTCAAAGTCCCTGTCATGCTCAACCTACAAAAACCGGTCAGCCGGGCTCCTCTCCTGAAGCACAGCCCCAGAGTCTGTGCAGCTGTGCTTCAGCCCAGCCTGCCTCCTCCATGAGTTCTGGCTCATACGAAGTGTTATTCGCCAGAAGTTCCTTGTTCAATGCTCTCACAGGTCAAAAACTGACCTGAAGTTCTTGGGCCTTTTGGGTCTCTCTTTTCAGATTTTTTTTAATACATTTAATCACTTTCACTTTGATACACTTTTGTGGAAAGTTCACAAAAGATATTAAGTATGAGCACAGCATGGAAGTCAAGGGTAAGGAGAATTGAGTATGGATGGGGTAGAGGGACAGGGAAAGTTTGCAGCCCAAATGAGGGAGGCTCCAGTCCAAACCTCTGACCCTGACGGGAATCCACGCCCTGAGGTGACAAGTGGAAACGAGCTTTGGAGTCACAGTAAGGCATCTAACAATTTAGGAAACAATTTATTTGACCAACTCAATTGACTGAACAAGCTTCCCAGGTCACAATGATTGTTTCCTTGGCAAGGACATGTATCTGGTATCCCTTGCCTCTCTCCACACAGCTCCTCTTCACTTCTACCACCAGCTCACACACCTAAGGCTTACAGGCCTCGCACGGCAACAAAGCTGGAGCAAATGTTCGAAGCCCTTGGAAACTATTTGGTGATGATGGTGGCTGGGAACTAGGGACTAAGAGCTAACATGAAAACTTAGGTAGATTTCTTTGAAATGGACTTTTCTGAGCGCAGAAGTGGCTGGGGATTATCAGCTTCATATAGCTTTCAACCTAATACAACAGACAATATAACAATTAAATCAAGTAGATTGGCTCCAGGGTTCCCCGACCAATTATATGGGCATATGAACAAAGTTGGAACTTTGATAGCACAATGGAATTTAAAAAGGAAATCAAGGAAGAGTGATTGTATTGAGTTACATGTCTCAGAGAACAACACTCTAGTGCCCAGGTTATACAGCATGCAACAATTTTAAGTATACAGTTTGATGAGTTTTGATAAATGTATATACAATGTAACCACCATCATGAACAGGATATAGAACATATAGAACATCATTACAAAATGTTTCCTGTGCCAATTTCCAATCTCTCCAACATCTGGCCTTTGTTTCTTGTGACTGCATTTGTCTTTTCTAGAATTTTGTATTTCTGGTATTCCCTTCTCAGCATAATGTTTTAAGAGTCATCTAGTTTGCTGCATATTTGTTTGTTCCTTTATACTGGTGAGTATATAGTGAACCTCCACTGTACGTACATTCAATTTTTTTGTATAGACATATGCTTTAGTTTACTTTGGATAAATAGTGAAATGGTTGAGTCACATGGTAAGGGTAAATTTAATTTTATAAGAAATAGCCAAATATTTTCCAAAGTGATTACAGTATTTTCCATTCCCACCATCAGTGCATGAGATTTCCAATGCTCTACATAGTCACCAAGACATGATATTGCCAGTTTAAAAATTTTATCCATCCTGTTGGGTGTTTAGTGGCATCTCATTATGGCTTTAATTTGCAAATGACTCCACACTAAGAAAGACTGATGGCATATCATTTTAAGAGACAATGTTTGCTACCCTAATGGAATCTTTAAATATTGGCTCACTCCTTCAAGTATCTTATGATAGTGAAAAATGCAGGCAAAAAAAGGGGCATTTCAAACCAGTAGCTCTATGGAACCCTAGAAACACCTTGTGAATATATTAGCCCTGCTTTTAGGGTATAGAAAATCATTTAATGGATAAGCAAAACAAGCATACTCAGTAAGCAAATTTCTTTAACTGGAAGAAACTGTAAAGAAAGAGATACAGTAAAATATTATTCAGCTATATAAAGGGATGGATACTGATATATGCTATACATGGATGAACCTTGAAAACTTCATGCTAAGTAAAAGAAGCCAGACACAAAAGGCCAGCATTTTTTGCTGGACTTCCACTGCAGAGAACAATAATTGTTCTCAGTGGACAAATGAAGATTCTGCTCTATTTTCTCACATGTATTTGAAAATGTTTTCAAAGGGTCACCAGAAAGAAATTAAACCAAACTTTGAATAATACTAATTAAAATGGATTCATTTTTCCAGCTCTTTTTATTTTTAGATTTTTCTTTCTTGATACCGTTTTGGAAACTCTTGTTAACAGAGTGGCCCATTACATACGACTGAATACTCTGCTTGTGTGTCTATTATGAAGTATTTTAAGGAGTGTTCTTAGTGCACATAAAACAGCATCACAGCTACCCTGAAATAAAACAGCTATTTAATTGAATGTAATTTCTTGGGAATAATTTATTTACCTGCACAGCATTGTTGTTTGCTGTTTTCTTCATTTCTTCAAATAGACCCCTTGAAGTTTTAAGATCCTAAACAAAACAAAATCTGCATTTCACAATTTGCATATTACATTGAAGTAAAAGATTCTAATTTAATCTTGGACTCACCCTGAAGTATCAAAATACTCCTCCTGGAATATCAAAATACTCTAACCAAAATACATACATGTATAAATAAACCCAAAATCAATAATGAGTGATGATTATATCAAAGTAGACTACAAACTAAAAAAATTTTTTAAATTTTTTTTTTTAAAGGTAGTCTGCTGCTGTACCTCCAAGTTACGCTCCATAGAGAAGAGCTAGCCAGTTTCCATTCTCTTAGCTGTTCCCTTATTTCTACCCTCATGTTTCTAACTCAGATGCTTACACGGCTACTTTATGGTTTAACGAGTGCAGACAGTGACTACTGGTATCAGTTATGATGGCTGTGGATTCAGGTCTCTGAATTCTCCCATCTCCCTTTTCTTCCTCCCAATAACAGTTACACCACATTTTTTGATTAGTAAGTAGTCAGTGTTTGTATCATCATACCTGGGTAAATATAGTTCAATCCTGGGCTAAATAATTCTCTTTCATCTAACATTTCATTTATACTGTAAATTATACAGTTAAATTATATTTGCTTAGTTTTCCATGTATATAATTCGGGGTGCCTCCTGCTGATGCTTCAATAGACTGATTAAATGTATAGCAAAGTTTTTTCAACACTCAAATATACTGGATTGAGGTTTTTTTTAAAGTTTATTTTTACTATTGTTTTTTACCTGGTTATCTTTCTCCCACAGCCTGCTCCAATTTGGTCTAATTGCTCCCAAGGCCTGGTCCTGTTAGGACATCCCCAGTCTAGGTTAGTTCTGGTTTTAATTCTTGATTCAGTCCCTTGTTCTGCTGAACTTCATCTTGCAGATTCTTCAAAAGGGTATATGAATGATAAATTTTCTTAGACCTTCCATGCCTGAAGGTATCGTTATTGAATCCTCATACCTGATTGAATTCTAGACCAGGTATAAAATACTAGGTAAATCACTTTCCCTCAGAACTGGAAGATACTTTTCTACTCTTTTCGAGCATACAATGTTACTTACTATGGAGAAATCCAATGCCATTCTGATTCGTGGTTCTTTATATATATATAAACTACTTTCCTGGGAAGCTTTTAGAAGTTTACTCTCTATCCCAGGTGTGAAACCTCACAATTACGTGGCTTGCTGAAAACTGCCATTAACTGGGTTGGACACGCTGTGTGCCCTTTCCAGCAAGAGGCTTGTCTTTCACTTTCGGAAAACTTTGTTATAGTCTAGATAGTTTTCCTTCTTCTATTTTTATTTTTGGAACTTCTCTATTATTAGCATATTGGATGTTCTGGATTAATTCTCCCATTTTCTTATCCTGTGTTTAATGTTTTTGCCATTTGGTTCTAATTTCTGGTAAATTTCTTAATCTCAGTTGTTCAGCTTTTCTATTAAATTGATTTTATCATAGTTTTAATTTGGAGTTTTCATGTTCTAAATAGTTTTTGGAAGCAGCATCCTGTCCTAGTTTTATGGATGCAATTATCTTCTGTTTGAGCAAATTATAGTTTTTATGAAGCTTTCTCCAGCTTTCTGCTCTTTAAGAGTTCCCTTTATTCCTTTACGGTTTGGCATCTCTTATGTTAGAAGCTTTTCTCAAAAGTCTGCTAATCCTTGCCTGCAGCCACATTTAAAAATGAGATACTAAAAATCTTAGGGGAGCTCTTGTCTATGCAGAGCCTGTTCACTGGTGTCACAGGTGGAGTGACAAGGGGGCCAGTTGGCTTTTCCACTGTAGCCTCCAATTCCTTTTTCTCCAGAGGCGATTTCCTGCACTGTCACAGAGGTGGGAGAGAGAACTGTGTGTAATACATCTTGTAGTCAACATTGTGGAAGAACGATGTGCACAGCAAGCGGAAGGTTCCCCTGTTCACTCTGTAGATTTTTATTTAGATTGTGTCACTTGAATTGGTCTGATTAACATTGGTATTCCACTAGGCAGACGTCTGGGTTCTGAGTTCTTTTTTTCTCTGCTGTGCTACGCTTCCGTGTGCTGCTTCTTGTTCAACAATGTACTAAATGTACTTCTACATTTTTTTCTTTCCTCTTTTCTTGGCTTTTGTACTTTAACACCGAATTTCTTGAGAGATTTTAGAAAGGGAGGGAATTGAAGACATGTGGTCACTCTAGTTTTAACCAGAAAGCCTCATAAAACTGATTCAAGTTAGAAGCTCTTGAAATTGGAGATAATCTAACACCGTCTAGTTTTACAAAACTGTCATGTGAGTGGCTGATCTGTCCAATGTCTTACAACCAGCTGATAACAGATCTGAAATTAGAAACTAGATGTTTTAATACTCCAGTAGCCTTTTTATTATATAGTGAAAGTACCAATGAAACATGTTTTGAAGCTCATTAACAACTTAAGTCAAAGACTTGTTAGGGAAATATTGAGGATACTAGTTAAAATGTAGTTTCCTATATATAAGGGCTAAAATCAAATAAATCAAATAAAAAATATTTTGGCTCCAATTTTTCTACCTCCATTTAAAGAAAAAAATATGGCAACAAATTATAAACGACCAGTGTAAAAATACTCATTAAATATTACCTTATGTCAAGGAGGAACCTTAAAATATGACCTCTCGTGGAGAAGACACTGTACCTTTAGGTAGAACTTTGAAATCTCAAAGAGATGCTGGCTGCATGCCGTAAAACATTCATGAGCCTCAGTAATGTTGTGTTTCCTCAGGGTTTCGGTAACTACTTCTTTTAATATCTTGAATAAAACATAACATATGACTAATATTTCTAGAAAAAGGTACAAACAATCTGTGAATTACAAACCTTCTAGCTATGCTATAAAAGATAAGTTCTGTAAGAAAACAAGTGAGAGGGACAGATCTGAAACATTTACATGGTCACACATGTAGGATATGTTAGGAACAGATGACTGGAGGATCTAACAGAGGAATTCAAATCACAAGTTCTGAATTGAAATTTGAGTGTAAAGGTTACACATAGCAGATATGTACAGGTGTGTATTTATTTTTTATTATGGAAAGTTTCAAACACTGTAAAGTACAGAGAATATTTTAGAACCCATCCCTATATTGATATATCTCTTAACCAGCTTCAAAGAGTATCAATTTATGGCTAATTGTTTGATTTATATTCCTGCCCACTTTCCTATTATCCTTCTTGCATTGGATTATTTGAAAGCAAATATAGATACCATTTCATTTCATTTGTAAAAGTTTTAGCTATATATTTTAGATGAATCGAATAAAGGAATTTCTTCCTGAGTAGAACTAAGAGAGATAGAAAATAAATCTTTACCCGTGTGTGTTTCTGTGATCTTGATTCCTTAATTTGCCTTGATGTTTTTGATTCATGCCCACGTTTTTTACCAGAACTGGCCTTTGCAGTGACTTTTGAAGTCCCAGAGCTAAGCACTGGAACCGACGGACCAGCTACAGGTAATGCTCTCTCTGCCCGCGGCTGCCTGGCTGTCACTGCATGCTGATGACGCCTAGTGCTGCCACTCGTCTGGGAAAGAAGAGAATCTGAACTTTCAGATTTCACAAGTCTATTGTGGAGAAAAATATCAAAAACACAGATTATGTGAATCAACAGTAGGACCCATTTCTGTCCTATATCCACTGAAACATAAACTCAAGAAAAGCAAACAAAATTCTTGCTACTCCTGCCTTAAAACAGGCGATCGATATCATGTCATACAGTTGCTCTCTTAGTTGTTCAAACGAGTGACTAAAACATAGAAAGCAATGAACCACAAACTAGAATTTCACCTAATAGGAAAAGTAACAAGCAATGTTACTGTCCCTCTCCCCACCAACTTACAAGTTCTCACATAAATCAGCTTTGGCACATCATATGGTGACATTTATAGATTCACACTCATCTGTTAAGTACATACACTTTCCTATTAAGATAATTTTGATGAAGAAATCATGACCTACCTATACTTACTGTACCTACACAACTACTCTGCAAAATAAACAACATTGTTTAAACAAATACAAATAAAATTACAAAACTGGTTCTTGTTTCAATCCTCCTAAAATGTTTACATTTCCTTTTACAAGATAGGGCCCATATTTCAATTCTGCTAACCCACAGGTACAGTGTACTTTCTTTTCTGGAACACATGCCTTTTTATTAGTCATAAAAAACTAAGAAATAAGACTAATATGACACAAGTCAGAAATAAGAAATTTTGTTATGAAACACAGTATCCTAAATGTTAATGTATTTACTTTTCAGCTTTATCAGATGTAGAAAGTACCATAAATTTGTAAAGTCTTCATGAAAATAATTTAAGTATTCCATATCAAGGGAATAGTATTCTAATATTTTTAACTGTTCAAAAAGAGATTTGAAAGTTTTGGTTTAAGATACTTCATACTTTTGGAAACATATACATATAATAAGAATTTAAGGCTTGCTTTAGATGACAAAGACCTAAATTTGATAAAGGTTCTTAAGATTACTACAAATTCAATAGAGAGTAGAGTGCTTATTTTATAAATTTCTAATTTCTATTCATGTATCTGCATATTTCATTTAGCTAGCAAAAAAAGTATCTGGAAAAGTTTCATGTAATGTATTATTACATGGTTTTAAGGTCATATTTTATATGAAACAGGCAGTTTTAAAATCCTACCTCAAAAAGCCCTTTGTTGAAGGGGCCAAAGCAGGCAGGAAGCAGTGAGATGAAAGGGAAGAGCAGAGGAAACTGCCATCCCCAAGCACCCTCCTCAGAGCAGCTCCACTGCTGCTTCTACTGGATAAGGTCTCAGTGGGCCATGCCTTAAAAACTTTACAATCCATTTTGCTAATGGACTGTATGTTAGCATATAAAGTAAAAAACTGTGTTTTTTCAAGTCATTTCTTTCTTTAACTTAAAAGCATAATCACCAACTGCTCACAATAAAAACAAAATTCCTGGTATAAAGGAATTAATCTAAAATCTATGCAGAAAGCTACTTAAAAATATGAAAGACTAGTACGAAAAAAAAATTACTCTAGGGAGGTAAAATACTTTCTGTCAAGATCCTATTTTTATACACTTAATATGTCACCTTTTTGGAGGATAAAGGCAATTCAGGTCTTTTGATCTCCTTTTCAATCGGGATACTTCTGTCCGGAGCTCACTTTGTAAAGCTTCCCCATCAGGGACACTTCCAGGCTCTGATAAAACTGCAGGAGATGGAAGAGGGCTCAGCACAGAAGACCCTAGAAAGCTCTCTCGGGTGCAGGTGGTTTGCGTTTCATAACGAATAAGACGAGACTGGAGTTCAGAAAATCCCCCATCTCTTTCTAATGCTTTTCGGTCATCCAAGCAATATCTAAACAAGAGAAAGATCATTAAAACCAAAGTGTCCGTGACAGCAATGGGCTTTTCTCTGCCAATTAGGAAACAGTAAAGTATTTACTTCAAAAGTTCTTACTTAACTTCCTAAAATTGTTGGAAGGTTGAATGAATGGCCAACTTCTTTCACAAGTTCAGTGTTTTCTCTAGTCTGCTAAAATGACATGGCAAGAAGATGAAAAAATCTCAAGTACAATCTGATTCCTCTTTGACTGTTTCAGGCCATAGATTAAATTAATCCTCTGGCCTATTTTCAAAATTATACAGTTGCTGTTTTAATACTCTTTAAATTTCTACCAACCTCTGATTCCTCAGCATTGCAGATAGGTAACAACACAAAATGCTGACTTCCGTTATTAGAAGGGCAAGTTTATTTTCAACACAAATATTGAAAGGGTATAAAAGCATTCTAAGCTACCTCACCAAACACAGCTCTGAACATTTGGAATTTTTTTTCTTTGAAACTTACTTCCCACCTTTTTTTTTTGTAAGCAGTAAATGGGTTTTAAACTTTATTTCTCTCTTTGACTGATCTTGGTTTTTAGAGGTATTTTGCCCTGGGATTTACTCTCCCAGGACTTAACACACTGGGTCTCATGATTTTGCACTGCTGGATTTTCCCACCATTTTACACCAGAATGATGGAACCAGCTGGCAACTTTAGGGACCTTGACAGCTGAGGGGGTGGACATAAGGACAGGCAAGGGTCCTTCCCAAATAGGCTGCAGTTGAGATTGGGGTGACCCATCTTTCCAGACTTTGATGAGGACTTGGGTCCCTGGGCAATAAAGAGGCTTGTCCTCTGGTGGCTCAGGCTATGACCCGAGGGTCCAAATTTTCTTAAAGCCTATTGGGACTGATGTATAGATGTGGCATATTCGGATAAGGCACTGGCCTCAGGAAGTTGGCCGACTTATCAGTTGGTAAGGGCTTGAATTTTTCAGGACAACAGGACTTTAATCTCAAGGGACTGTAATCGGGGGTTGGAAATCCATCTGAGTTGTGCAGCACCAAATCTGTTGGTGGGAGAGGTCAGTTCGTCTTAACAGGGATGGAAATCCATCCG